AAATATAATGAAATAGAACATGAAATGAATTAAATACAAAATAAGAAATGATATAAGTAAAATAAATGAAATCAATTAAATAAACAAATAAAATAAAAAATAAAATGCAATGAAACAAAAATAAAATGAAATAAAATATTATAAATAAGAAACAAATATTAAAATGTAATAAAGAAGAAAAGACAAAATAAAATAAATATTTTGTGTGTGAATAATATGAAGGTTCTTAGAAATGTAACAATAATCATGACTGAAAAGTAATTTTCTAAAGTAGTTTTGTTTATCTTGATAGTTAAACAATAAGGTTAAAATGGTTTCGTATACGCTATATTTTATTATAAGTGATCTAAAAAACTAAATTGGTATTATCTTCAATTTATAATACAATCACTAAAATCATTTTGTAAATATTATACCTCGGAAAAATCTGTTGCATTAAATTTTAAAAAAATCTATATAGTATTATTTTCACTGTACGATCCCGTAAAAACATTTTATTATTAATGAAACAAAAACTTAGCAAAAATTAGTAAAATCCATGGAAGACATTAAAAATGTAAAAAAAAGACCACCAAGTATATTTTTTAATGTTTTTACCTCAAAAATTGTTTTATGAAAAACGAAAAAAGCCAAAATAATGACATGAAAAAGAAGTGAAATCAAAATGTTATTCCAAGTATATATTAGATCAATTATATATATTAAATATATATATATCCTATATAAATATATATATAAATATATATATATATGTATACAGGGTGGACCATTTTAATCCATCCAGTCGAATATCTCGAAAATCAAGCCCGGGAGAGAAAAATTTTTCAGACAAAAGTTGTAGGGTTTCGAGGGGGACATAAGATGATAACATTGGTTTGACCCCGAGTGGCGTCGTCAAGGTCAGGACAAGGTCAATTTGAATTTTTTAAATGGAACCCCCAATTTTTCATTACATGTTTTTATAGCACGCCTCGAGAACTTTCCAAAACAACTGAGTCGACAAGGCACACAGGGGATA